ATATCGTGGCCACACGTATATAATAACCATTGTCTCCTCGTTTTCTATCATTATTCTCTAAATGAATCTTGGGATTCTCATACTTGGCTTCTCCATATTCAACCCAACCATTATCGAAACATTAGATCGCCTTTCATTATTTCATTTGTAAATTGCACTTAAATAAGTTACTATGAAAAAACAATATGGCTTGCATCCATCTTTTGTTAAAATGATTTAAGCTGCATTTCAAGTTTTCTTAAACCTTAATTGTAAACGGTCAAACGATGACAACCATATAAAAACGAATAAGTTGCTTAGCATATGGCTCTCATATATATGTGGTACATTTTCAAATGGTAAAAAAACAAAACGATATTTTTTAACCACAAAAAAAAAATGCAATAGATACAGTTTATCATTTGTAAACATAATTCGATTCTAGATTTTGAACTTAAATTTCATTACAATAGTTTACTATATTAGATTTCCAATAATTGGTTGGCTAAACAAATCATTTCGGTGCTATCATATTGAGAGAATTTATTATGAATTGTCTTAATTTACCAAATAACTAAGAAAGAAAAAAGAGAGTAATAAATCAAATAGCCAAAAACTCCTTATATGGCATAATCACAAAAGAAAGTCACTCTAAATCTTTTTTTTCTTTCAGAATCCATTTTCAGATTATGATTTCTTTCGATAACAGAAATGGAGTCCGAATGCAAAGAATTGCATGACCTTTTGGATGAAGCCAAAAGGAACGCGAATGATTGAGATCAACGATTTTGAGGAGGATGGATTAGGGCGAGAGCACGCGTTGAAACTGAGAGTTTGGAGCACAATCTCAAATTTCTTCAAGATGAGATTAATTATTGGCAGGAGGTGAGAGTGCGACGATGGTAGCGACGACGCTTATCCATTCTCTCCACGAAGGTTGATAAAGACACATCGTAAAAACTTTGGGATGGGAAAAAGCAACTCTAACAGAGAGAGAACTCTGAAGGAGAGGTGGTGAACCCTCACCAACCCTAACATGGTCACAACACCTCAAGATCGCCAAATGAGTGGCAAGTGACTAGCATTTTTACACGAGCACAATCTGCTTCATGGCAATCAATATTTCCAACATACTTCTTGATATATCATTCACTCTTTACATAACCAATTTTGGCCTCACCCGCCTCATCACCTTAACCAATGATTAAGTTGCTTTGCGTATAGCTCTTATACATATGTGGTACATTTTCAAATGGTAGAGGTAGAGAAACAAAATGATTTTTTGTTTTACCACAAAATATTATTGTTATGATTTGATTTGTTCTTAATTTTTAATTAAAACTATTTTGCTTCTTTAATTTCTCCAAAATATCATCACATAAATGACTTTTAAACTGTTATCATTACAAAATTTTAAAAGAAATTAGTTTCTATTGTCTCAATTGAAATTGAGTGACTAAATATCTCAAAGAATTATGTTATTCCTCTCTTTGGGATGAGATTGCTGTTTATTTTATTAATTTTAGGTTTTTGAGACAATTCAATGGCAAAAAAGAAGGA